CACCGCCGGGAAGGGGAAACGTACGAGACGTTAAAAAATTTATTTACAGGTCGCGGTATTTTTTTTTTTTTTTTTTAATTACAGTTATCGCGCACGATTTACGAGCTATCCCGTATTCCGAAGCCGAGGCGCATACGTTTGAAGCGCTTTACAAATTTTCCTCACGGCGCATAATAATTCCCCGTGAGACTACATCTGCGTTGATATCCCATCGCGGAATTTTTTTTTTTTATGCTCATCGTCCGAACGCGTTTGCCGTTCGTCGGCCCGATTGGCATTGCAAATGCATTAATGTATGCTCTTACCTCGTTCGTCAATTTGCCTTTGTACTTGGAAATTTTTCTTCGTCATCTCTTTCGTCGGAATTTCAATCTTGGAAATATTTTCCCGACCGAGAAGTGCCGATCCTCTTCTTTTTTTTTTTTCCTCTCTTTTTCTCTTTTATCATGACGCTGTCCTTTATAAACGTCCGGGGAAAAACATCGGTTTTTTTTTTTCAGCCACGTCCCTCATAATAAATCTCTCTTGGGCTCTAATCGGCAATCCGCTTGACTAAATGCAACTTCACGGTCGTTTGCGGTCGCATCTTTATTCGTCTTTACGTCTCGCGGACGCGACAAATCTTCTTGTCTGTTTCCAGCTGCATTCAACGATGAGATTCGCCGCGAAACAGCCGTTTCGCGACTTTGAAGCTTAATAAATTTCCTTTACATTTATGTTCTCTATAATTCATTGAGACGCACCGCCACCAGCAAAAGCTTCCATACGACCGTTATTGGACCGTGTGTGCACGCTGACGTAAATCCTCCGTATCTTCGCCATTTTTCCGCTCGACTTCCTTTGTCGCGCACATAATTTATTATACCTCTAAATTTACGTAATTTATCGTCCGGTTTAAATCACCCCACTGGAATTTTTGCAACAACAAACTGCATAATTGTTGTCGCATCTACAGTCCGATATTCCCGGCTCGATAAGGATTGCATAATTATTTTTCCGACGTTCGCGAGAACTCCATTCGGCCTCTGCTCGACTTGGCTGAAGCCTCTGAAGCAATCGGGATACGTTTCAATTCAGAGAAAGAGAAAGAGAGAATACGTTGAGCGTATCGAGTATTCTCATTCTTTTTTTTTTTAGATTTCCTTTTTTTTCCACGTTTTTTCCTCATCTGCGATACATTAAATTCGACCATAAAAATTTGAACTATAATTTCCACCGCTAATTAATGCGAAACTCCTATCTGTTCCGCCATCACAGTTACACGTATACACATGCGAATATGCAGAGATGCGGTATTAATTCGCTTCGCTTTAGCCCCCGATGTTACGCCCGTCCTTCGCTCACCGTTGCATCCGTAATTTATGACGTAACCAAATTTATTTCGCTTGTTATCATCTCTATGCGCGAAGACCTAATGAATATCGCGCTCGCGAGAAATGTAAACAATCCCTTTAGAGTAACAATTATCGCGGAACGAATGAACGTATGCAAATTATCGAGCGGCCGCGCCTGTGCATTTGTGCGTCGCAAAACGTACATACGGCCGGAATGATAAATCAGCAAAGCTCCGCGAAATTATGCTGTCTTCCGATAAACAGGCGCCCCGCTTCACGTTCGCGTTACATCGTCCACTCGCTTTTTATCTTAACGCACGCGTCATAACACGAACGTGCAAGTCTAATAGAATCTTTTTTATTAGCGCTATTTCGTTCCGGATACGAGTCGCAGATGGGATCGACAGCGCATCACTATCTGGTAACATCCTTCCTTCCCTCCCCTCCCTCCCTCCCTCCCACGTGTTTCCATCTACACGTATGCCGGGTAAATGCGGGCCATCAATTTCACTTTGTATCCAGAAGAGAGATTTCGGGATAGCTTCCAGTCTCGTTTATTCCGTCGCTCGCTTCCCTCCGTCCCATTGAAGGCGACAAAAAAGAAAACGGACGATTTCACCTTTGCCCTCCAAACTCTTCAGCTTGTCCCGGAGATACTCCACCGGCTCCCCGGCTCATCGTTCTTGTTACTCTTAAAAGGCGGGGAGATATTTTAGAGGGAAACAAGAGGGATAATCTCACGACATCAGCTGTTCGTTAAAATCAAGAGTGTACACGTCGTATCCGAGGTTTTAATTTCGAACGACGAATTTGTCAACCAATTTGAAATGAATTTTGGCGAGAAAAAAAAGAGAGAAGCGTCGAAAAAAATGCTAATGCCCCAAAGTCTATTACTTCTCGCGGAATCTATTGACCCCCAACTTCGCCCCCAGTTTCGGCACGGAAAAAAGAAAAGTTTTCCCCGCGCAAATAATGAGAAAATTACGATCACGTCTGCGCGCGGGGGGGCGACTGATTTCGAAATAAAATTCGTTCTATTCGCCGAGAGATTATAATAATTCACCGGGCACCGTTACGCAGTCCGTCCACGAATCGTTCCGCATTCCTACCACCCTCCGCCCGTCGCATCTCGCCCGAAAGGAGCAGACAGAGGCAATAATCCAGCCATAAGTCTCATCCCACAGATAAGATTATTGCGCGACTATTACTCGAACTGAAAAGCGCTCGATTGAAATGGGCGAGGATCTAACAATAGCCAATCGAAACGCGGCATCGCTCTTTTCTTGGCAGAAAATTTATAATTATCTCCTTTCCACGATCAAAATTTTTTATTTAAGATTTTAAGACCGTGGTGAAGGAGAAAATTATAAATTTTCTTCCGCGAAAAAGTAGATGCGCGGTAACAGGATGGAATTTTTATTTAGTTATTTTTATCTAACAAGGTACACAGTATATATAATAGAAATTTTGCCGTAAGCGTAATTACCTAATTTTCTAAAATGTTACGATAGCTCTTATGCGGTTGTGCGATATTTCATTATCTCAAATTAATGGACATGTAGTAATGGACACGTTAATGTCATTGAAGTAATACGCTTTCGAGCGTTTTGGCGCGTACAATTATCGTCGCGTACGGGATCGTAAAATTTAAAGAGCCCCCAAATCGCGCGTTTAAATCGCGGTCTTTAATTTAATAAATTAAATTTTTTAAAAATCGAATTTGAACGTGTCAATCCCGGCGCGTGGTGATCGCATTACATCAAAGCGTGGCCGCGTGGCAAATTTCGTCGAGAGATTTAATGACGACTCGTCGGCGGGGTAAACGTGCCTTCGTTTGAATCGGGGAATTAATATCTCGGATTTTCTCGCCCTCGACCTATTTTATCCGCAGCAATTACTCCTGTGTCCAGTGTCGCTTTAATTTACAAGCAGCTGTATTCGTGCGTCATCAGGTGTATTATGCACATTCACGGAGGGCGATTCGCGGCCGACGCATATACGCGCGGTCATGTCGAAAGTGCCAAAGAGTGTGTGTGTGTGTGTGTGTGTGTGTGGGTTGGATGTGTGTCTGTGTGATTTTAGTAAATCTCTCTCCCGTTCTCTCACTCTCGCCGCGGAACTGATTTCATGAGGAACGACGTACCGCGGTGAAAGCGGCGAAGAGAAACTGCTCGCACTTGTAACGCCGTTCTCGCACGCGAATCTTTTCACGAACGGGCGTTTCCCTTTCGTCGAACACACACGACTGTGTGTTTCCATTTTCTTGCGATTTCGCACTAAGCCCCCGCACTGTTCCCCCGTAATGGGAATTTATTTCCAACTATGATAGCTCGCCTAGGGAATACGAAAATGAATGCCGCGATCGTAAAATAACAAGCTGCGCCATGAACCGGGACGAACGTGTTCGTACATACGAAATTTCCAAGTTCTTTCTCACTCCCCTTCCCCCCTCCCCCTCTCTCTCACTCTCTCTCCCGTTTATTCGAATTTACTTGTTTACCTTTTTTTTTTTTTTATATTAATTTTCATCTTTCCGTGTGTACGTTTCCAGCGTGTCGATATACCTTCGTCTTTTTTTAATATTTTAACTCCCGGACGAGAGTCAATTACGAGATCGTCAGCCAGAACAAAATTCGCAAACTCATGGAACGAAATTAATATTTCATCCCACGTCATCGCCATCATCCCTCGGGATTTTATGGGAGCCTCGATAAGCGCCGATTGTTATCGGCAGTCGCATGACACGCATTTAATTTTTAATGCAATTGAAAATGTCGAATCGAATAACTCTCATTTTCGTCTCTCTTCTTTTGTTATTCCGTCTCTCTCTCTCTCTCTCTCTCTCTCTCTCTCTCTCTCTCTCTCTCTCTTTACTTTCCCTTTTTTTTCATTTCTCTCTCGTAAGTATTCCTTAAGGTGACATTTTTTTTTAATTCTCCGACGAAAATTCGATGCCGAAAAATGTTAAGGGAACTCGGTAATTTCCAGCGCGAATTGTAGGACGGCCATTTCGATGGGCAGATCCGTCCCAATTGCGCCGTGATGCAATTAAAGTCGACCCGCAACGAACGAGATCTATCGGTCCTTGTGATATAATTGTTTCCATGATACGAGTGCACAGCAATTTTTCCTGCTCGATTTTACCACGAGAAGTAGAATTTGAGAAATCGGTCCGCAAGTCATCTTAATAAACATCACGTATTTAAAAAAAAAACGAATTAACATTATTCAACATTATATAATTTGATTAATATTTAAATATCCGATAACCAAAGGCGGTAGTTCGCATCGTTTCTTTTTTTTTTTACTTATCTTTTTTTTTCTTTCTTTCAATTTTATTTGTCTACGCGTTTCGATTGTCGCGACATTTTCATCAAACGCGAGAATCAGAACTCTCCCTTTTCGCGCTGCATTTTTAATCACTGGCTCGTTTAAGGGAGGTCGGATCGTATCTTTTCCCCTACGCCGAGCCGAGTATCTTTCGAATCACTCGCCCGACACGCGTAGGAGATGAAATGGATATTGGGTGCAAGGGGATGGGGGGAGCGAGGAGGGGCTTTTCTAGCTTTCTGGCTGTCTGTTTTCGTTTTTCCCTGCCGGAGATCCGTGTGCCCCGAACGGAAAGAACGATGTATCTCCACGGAGAAGCATTCGAGCGTATTTTAGAAGCTACTTGCGCGAACGGACGTCGAAGAACAAGAGGAGAGGAGAGTTCATGTTTATCATTTTCAGAGCTATCCCAAGACGCCGGGATGGAATCGATAAAACCGCGACTCTCTTTCCGGTCCAAAATCTCCCGGATAGAATTGAGACACGTAGACGTTATTGTAACTCAATAAAACTGACACGGACAGACGTCGGTGGCAGAGGATAATTTTAAGATGGACCCGCGACCCGTGGAAATCGGAGAGAACTTTCTTTTGCGGCGAATATCAAATCCACTCGCTCTTGTTACAGGAACTGAACAGTCGGCACCTGGATCCCGTGGAGGTGTTTCGCGGGATACCCTACGCCGCGCCCCCGATTGGAGAGTTGAGGTTTCGACCCCCGATCTCGCCGGTGCCTTGGAACGGCGTCAAATTGGCGGACACCTTCGGCGCGGTGTGCCCGCAGAATTATCCGGACCTCGCCAATAGCACCGCCGCCCTCGCGCAGATGCCGCACGGCAGATACCAGCAGCTCAAGAAGATGGTTGTCTTTCTGGCTAACCAGAGCGAAGACTGCCTCTTCCTCAATCTGTACATACCCGGCAGCGGTAAGAAGGTTTTAATATTTAATAATTACCTGAAAGATAACAAGGTCAATTCCTCGGAAGTAAAATCTCAAGTGCAAAATCTAAATATCTATGTGAAATAATTTCGACAATCAAATCGATTTTAATTATATTAGGCAACTCTGTTTACACGCGTATATGTGATGATCCACTTTCTCGTAATACCTCCGTTCATTAGGAATTAAATAATGACGGAATTAAATTCGACGGATTTTTTTTTGACTAAAAGAGGGCAAGGTCGCGCGATAAATAAGATCCTAAAAGAGACCATGCAAAATTACGTTTCTATTGTCGCCTAAAGTACCCGACACTAACGTAAAGTTCTTCAGTTCTGACAGAGTAAAAGGGATAATAAGTTTTAATGAAGGTCTTTATTCTTCAGGGAGCCAGTAAAGCTACTCCACATTGAGTTAATGAAAGTTCAACTTTAGCTACCTGGATAAATAATTTATTTTTTGCATCTTATTATTATTCATTTAAGCAACGTAGTTTATGAGGATTACAACTCGATTATCAATTCTCGACTGATCTTTATTTCAACGTATGCATGCATACACGTATCGTTCGAGATCAATTTTTAAAACGTTCTGTTGTAAAAGATTAATAACGTTTAATGGCCGAAAGCGCTCGCGCGTTGCGAACACAAGCGGGGCAGAAAAAATAAACCTGAATTGATTTCACGCTTAAAATTATATATCGGTGGTCGAACGTCCAGGAGGCGCAATCGACCGGGGTTAATTTTGCGCGACTAAAAAAAAAAAAAATTCATGTGACGGAAAATAACGTATTACATCAGGCCGTAAAGTTTTGGGGTGACTGCGGCCGTAATTCGGCCCCTGAAATTCTCAACTATATTATATATCGGAGCCGAGACAATTTATGCGTCCGTATAGTATTACATGGTGCAAGTTGCTTCCTAAAGTAATTAGTCCTAAAGTAATTAGTACCTTTATGCCGGGTAGTATCAAGCCGGGAGCAGCCGCATGCCTTACGTCGTACGTTGCTCGGCGCGCGATGAAAGATAGAGGCGAATTTGCAACGTAAAGCGGTCGGTCTGCGCCGTAACCTCAGTCGGGTTAAAAAGGGAAGAGAATTGAAAATTGTATGAGCTACGCGAATAACACGAAGCACGGATATAAGAATGGAAAAAGAGAGCGAGAAATTGGAGGAGAAGAGGGTCGCGCGCTCTCAAGTTCGAGTTTTTGTTGCGGAGAAAGCGAAAATGTAAATGAAATCAAATCTTGGGAATTTCTGTTGAGATAAAGAGCTCCAATTTTCGTGGGAAATTGACGAGAGAGCGAGAGACGCGTATCCGTCAACCGTCTACCTTGTATACCGGGAAGACGCTTTAGCGATTTCCGGATTTTCTGGCGATTAAAGCGCGATTAACGATCGCCGTAAGCGGCTGCTCAATATGCGATCGCAATCCCCGAGCGTAATTCCGATAAGGCGGCGTGCGGCTCGATAGTATCGATTGGCAACCGACAAAGACAAGGTGCTTCGTAACGTTGCGCCGAGCATTCCCCGCCGGGATGATCGATACTAATTGGGCTAGTTTTACGAGTTAACGGATAATCAAAGTAAGATCGCGGCGCGATTGAATTACTAACTACGATGATTGCGAGCTCACGTAACTCGGCAGTGCGAAGCGCTGCTTCTCGTCGTGGTTTAGGATGATGTCTCTGTAGACAGGTAATCCGATGTAGTATAAATCGTGTAACAGACAGGCGTTAATTAGTTACGACGCGCGTCGGGCGGGTGAACGCCTGGTTTATTAGTTGCTAAGACGATTATCAATTAAACGGGGACTTTTAATATCTGAGAACCCTCCTGGCTGACGCGTCGTGTAACACCGGGGATCCTTCAGGGAAAGGAGGATACGTTAAACCCGTAGGGACTTACAAAACGCGAAAATCCCGAGGCTCGAGACGAGCGTAGATCTGTAAAAAGCGTCGCGTTAATCCTTAAAGCCTTATTAAAACAAGCTTTTCGCTTTAATTTACCTCCGTTCCAGCTTACGCGACGCTCTTGGCGTAAAATTTTACGTCCGCCGTAAAAAGCCGAGCGTTTAAAGGAAAAAGGAAGGATAAAAGAAAAAAAGGAGAAAGTATCCGTTTTATCGGGGCGATTTTCCAAACCATACCGAGCGTTTACGATGGCCGTGTAATGCGCGCGGTAGATACGCGTCCGGGATGCGTCCCGGACGAATCCCGCGATCGCGTAAACCCCGCCGGTGAGACGTGTGTTTCTTTTCACGCGCGTCTGAAAAATCGCCGTCGTGACTTTGCGCGCGTAAATGAAGTCACGACAGCGACGACGATCGATCGATGAGCGGAGATTGCTTAAAGAAAAACACATCTCGTCGCTCGTCTCTTTCTTCTTCGTTCTCTCGCTTCGAGTAAACGCCTTTGATGCAACGCGCTCTACGATTTCTTGCTCTACGTGCGACGAATCGCGAATGAGCCCGCGGCCTCTGACGATTTCACGATTTTCTGAAAGACCACGGAAACGTGACTAGAGAAAACTGGATGGAGTCCTTAACGCGGTGGGATTATACGATGCAATTAGTCATTTCAATTGCGCAGATGGCAAACAGCGAAAACAAAAAAAATTAATTGGCTGCTGGGACGATTTTATTTTAATAAAGCGAAAGTCCGCGAGAAATACCCGCGAGACTTGGAACTTCTAAATCGGTGCGCAAACAATATCGCGCGAGAGCGAAATAACAAGCGTACATAGAGACGAGATACTCTTAAAACGGTGGAAGCTCGCTAGGCGCAACGGTTCTCCGCCGGTTTACGTTTTGCGGTTCGCCGGGAGGGGGTGGAGGGATAAAGCGGGTAAGCATAATGCTACGTAAGCGATAATGTCGCGCGGTATTACGAGAAAGCTGGATCTGTCAATGGGAGGTTTATGCGGATAAGAGGTTTATTCGTGGAAGAAAATGGAAGAGAGCGATGCGGACCCACTTGCCTGCTGCTTTCAGGATCTCGAGGGCTGGAGGCGCCGTACGCGGTGATGGTATACGTACACGGTGAAAGTTTCGAATGGGGATCGGGTAACTTGTACGATGGATCGGTCTTGGCGAGCGCCGGCCACGTCATAGTGATCACGCTCAACTATCGTCTCGGCATCTTAGGTACGTGCCACCCTTTAATCAACCCTCCCGCATCCCCGAAAGCATTTTCATTAAGCAACCCTCCTGATGTAACATTCCCCACATTCGCGAACAAAGAAATTCCAAATGGTACCATCCACCCTGTGTGACGAGATACCTTAATTTGTACTTTGTAATTCTTTCCTCACTCTCATTTATTTTCTTTAAAATTTCCTTTACTTCTCCGAGCGTTTTACTTTTGGATACGCTACTTTGTAGAATTACGTAGAAAGTGCCTTAGACAGATAGTTAAGTAATTTTTATTTAATTAATTATTTTATTATTTATCACCTATCTATGTAAAACGGAAAAGTTACCTTGTATGCTTACTGCAACTCTCACTTCCTCGAAGGTGAGTTCGTATCATTAACTGCCTAGCTATACTCCGAAATGGAGAGGCAGCTTCGTAGAAACCATTTACATTCTTAAGTCAATATTGGCACTTCGAAGTCCTACAAATGCATCTCTGTCACAGTGTGCCGCGAATGTACTAAAGTCCGAAAATGTAGTTCTATCTATTTACATGTCAAACTGCCTTTGATTATGACTTAATAGCGTAACGAATATTTACAATCTCCGCTTAGTTATCGCTGTGGTCGGGAAACGTTAAATCGAATCTTCACGATCGACGACCGCTCTTTATTTCGCGAGTTCTTTTTTTTTTTCTTTCAACTGAAAGCTCTCCAGTCATCGTAAAATCAGAAATCTTCGTCTTCGAAAATACACTTTCATGGCGAAACTTGCGAGTGAAATTTTATCGAACAAACGCTACCGCGCATCGCAAATGTTGCGTGAGAACGAGAAAAACGAGAAAAAGGAGGAGAGGAGAAAATGCAATAAAGGAAGGGAAAGGATATCGCGCCATCCGCCGGGATAACGGTTGAATCGGTGAACGGTTTGGCGTTCTTCCAGGATTCTTGAGGACCCGTCCGTTCCCCGACAGAACGAGCGGATCCGGCGGGAATTTGGCTTTGAAGGACATCACGATGGGGCTCCGTTGGGTGCGCGAAAATATCGGCGCCTTCGGCGGCGATCCAACGCGGATAACTCTAATGGGCCACGACACCGGAGCGGCGCTGGTGAATCTCCTACTGCTCGCACCTTACAGCAAAGGTAAGGAGAGAGGAATCCCTGACAATTGCAATTAGCAATTAACCCTCCGACCATCTGTGAGCACTCGGAAACCGCGAAACCGGAATTCCGCAGGAGCGCCAGTTTTATGTGGCGTTTCTTATTTAAACGTCTCTCGGTATAGAGGGAAGACGACGCTGAAGACGCGGAAGAAATTTCGGAACGTTCGCATGTCTCTCAGACGTTCGAATAAGAGAGAATGATCCGTCTCTTTAGCGTGTCTCCTCCACTCAATTTCGACCGATCGATGCGAGTACACTTTGGGCGAAGGTTATATCGCGCTTATTCTTTTCAATGCGCCGTCAAATCCCCGCTGACAGCTTAATGCCGTCATTGTGCCGTCAGGTTTAACAGTTCATCGGTCACTCTCTCTCGCCCCGCGATGGACTGGTTGTAATATAAAATAAATCAATTCGATATCGCGCGATATATAAACGCCGCGTGTTGAGGGCGGTGGAAATATTTGCTTGTCGAGTAACTTGATCCAATATTTACGTAGCTCCGCTAACGTATTAATAACGTTGTTGTTTACGACAAGGGAACACAATGAAAAATGATACCGATACCGCCGTTCCGCCCGGCGGGAAATACATGCGTGAAATTCGATGTTAATCGAGCGAGAAGTTGCGCGATCGGAAGTCCGATCGGTTCGCCTCCTATCTCGCCGATGATCTCGCCGAAAACCTAACCGGCAAAATAACCGGCAGGTTAGAAGCGAAGAGACGCTATTTGCAGGACCTTCAGTAGATTAATCGTCCGGGGATTAGTCGGCGAGGGTCTCGTGAAGAAGACAACTGAAGGGTTGGTTTCGTCCTCTCAAAAAAACATCACCGGGCTCGGGTGACAAATTGCAGGACTCCATTTTATTCGATGAGGGGAGAAAGCGAGCCTTTTCATTTTTTTTTCTTTCGTCTTCTTCTTCCCCCTCTTTTTATCGTCGTCGGACAACACCGGCCAAAATTGAACGATCCTCCCGGCTTTTGTCCCTTCAGGTGGCGCAGAATTCCCCGCGGAGGAGGCTACTTGAGCGGGGGACGTGAGGAAATTGCGCAATAATAAAAAATGCATGGTCCTCGGGACGCGCGTCGAAGGCCGCGTGGAACAAAAGCGGGGACGCTAAAAGCGTCGTAAATACATCGCCGCGCGATAAATCCATGCGAACGCGATTACGGCGATGATATAGTTAGACGCTAATTCCGCGCCAATCAACCAAATTATGACTAACGCCGCGACCGTTCTGCCGCCCATACGTTTCGCATAATCGACGATCCAGATTCATTCGAATTTTGGCACGTTTAAATCGTACCCCGAGCCGCAATAATATATCTTTAGAGAAATATGACTTTTTTCCGCACATAGATATCTGTCTATCGCAATTCAATTCAATATTTAATTTACTCGAAATTATCACCTTTTTTAAAAAATTGGCCGCTTCATTTGAATGGAATTAAATCATGGTTGTACTAAATAATATTAATTTGGCGGGATGGTGAAGAGCAACATTCTTTCCGTAGCGAACCTTTCAGTGTCAGCTTTCGAAGTTGTCGCCGTCGAAAAGTAGGAAAAGTCGAAAGTGTAAATAGCCGCTTAGACAGGCGGAACGGGTGCTAGGAAGAAACACGAAGGATAAACGGCATGCTGGAGAAAGTCCCCTCTCGCTGTGTGGTGGTCTGCCGGAACCACTCTCCCGTCTAGCTATTTCCCGGACCTCCGGTTGTGCCGGAAACAGCGCAAACAGTTTACATCTCGAGGAGGGAGCATCGCTGTCGGTTGCGCATTCCTTCTGCACGTCGTCCTTCCTCCCGAGGCTACCACTCTCGGAGCGAGCGAGCGAGCGCGAAAAGGAGCGAGACGGGGGGAGAGAGAGAGAGAGAGAGAGAGAGAGAGAGAGAGAGAGAGAGAGAGAGAGAGAAGAGTACGTA